AAGTAAGTTTTTTTTTAGATCTAAGTTTTTGACCTACCAATTGATTTTATTTGGATTGGGAAGATGCAACCATAGCAATGTAGTATACTTTTTAATCATCAGGGTTATATCTATTTCATTGAATATGAAACATCTATATGCAGGGTCCCAAAACTGAACTAAAGCTCTTATCAATTGATTTTCTATAGACACCTCAAATAGTGAAGCAATATGGCCATATTTTTCCTCGAAAGCCATCTTCCTAGGAGTTGTTACACAGTGTTAAATCTTGACCAACTCAAAGATGTTATTTTGCTAAAGTACCAATTTGATTTCTTTAGGGAAAATTTCTTGTTCAAATTCTTCCAGATAGTTTCTCATTATACTTTAGGCTTCTAATGATAGAGTTATCACCATATTAGTCTTTTCACACACAGTGAGCTTCAATGCTGAGAACATCAGATGGTATTTTCAAAGCAAGACTGAAAATCTTTTGACTGATATTGGCATATTGATAATCACATCCCGTATGCAAGTGTTTATGATAATGCGTGGTCATGAAACAAAAGGAGAGTAAAACAAAATAGGGCTAGTAATCATGTTATAATAAGTATTCCCTTATGTGTCCTAATTTAGGGTATAATTTACAAAAATGGTATGGCCCTATCTAAGGTTGGTTTCTTAAGGTTCACTATATGCATGGTTTGGTAATTAACATAGGCTAAAAAAGTTTCAAAATTGATCCTTCCTATCATCTACTTTGGACTAGTAAGGCCCCCGATCTTCATCCATAATGGACTGTCGATGAAAAGGATTCAATTTGAGTGAAAGTATTTCATTAGCCTAAATGGAGGCATTATAACCTCACCAAAGTGTAGGTACTCTACTCCCTTCTAAAAAAGGATAGATTTGGGAGCCCGGATATAGAGCTCATGCATGAATACAAATGTGCATGTGTGTGAGGGAACGTAACAATTATTAATAAAATTAACAATATAATTAGCAACAATATAAAACAAGTATGATAACATAACAAAACTAAATGAAACCATCAAAAAATTTTTTTTACTTTTTTATTCTAAGATGAGATACGAAATTAAAATTAAATATAAAAAAGATCCTAAAATCAAATTTTGGATGATGCTTGTTTAATTTTTTGGCTTGACTCTCAAGTGTCTCCAGTGGAGTCGTCAAGTTATCATAATAATTTTTTGTCCAAGGGGACTTGATTGCTAAACTTGATAAAAATTTTTGAAGTTGCCACTAATCTATTTGTAAGGTGTAATTGGCCACCCAAAACTATCATCTTTTAATAAAAATTTTAAAATTAATTAAGATTTACTAAAAGAAGTTTAGGACTACAAAATCAGGGTTAGGTCCAAGATAAGGTTACGAGTGAGAAAGGTATTAACACCTTCATGTTACCCGTTTGAAGAACAGTATCAATTAAACATGTGTAATCCTATAATTTTGATAATGTAATCTTTTTTATATATTTAAATTTAATTTCCTTAAATTTATTTATGAAAAAAAATATTTCTTTGTTGTGAAATTAGTATTATTATTTCATTATTTTATAAATTCCTCAACGCTTTGGCAAAATTTATAAAAAATCTTTATTAAGGAAATATTTTGGAAAAATTGACTATTCACAAAATTTTCGAAATCTTATCATAAGATATTTTATTTAAAAAATAAGATGATTTTAGGAACATCCCAACTTTTTCATGAATTCTTAAAATCTATTAAACAAATTTTAAGATTATCTCGACTCTTTGACGAAATTCTAAAAATTTTGAACAAATTTTTAAATTATCTCAATTTTTTGACGACATCCTAAATAAGAATCATTCTTTTAATTAAATGATTTAATTAATTAATTCTTATTGTGATTATTTTTTTATTATTATTTACTATTTTTATCTTTTTTTATCATATTATTTAAAAAAATTTAGATTATCCTAACTCACTGGCGAAATCTAAATATTTATCTTTTACTTGTATTAAAGAAAATCAAACTCTTTAAATTTTTTTAAAAAAACATCTTTTAAAATTATTCAACATATCAATTACTATTATTATTTATTATTATTATTATTATTATTATTTAAATAAACCTTTATTCTAGTAAAAATAATTTTGGATTATTCCAACTCTATGATGAAATCTAAAAAATTATTTTTACTTGCAATAATTAAAGAAAATCAAACTCTTTCAGCTTTCTTTAAAAATTTCATTTAAAAGATTCATTTAAACAACTTATTATTTTTTATTTTATTTATCATTTTTATTTTTTTAGCAAAAATTATATTTTAAATTATCTCAACACTTTAGTAAAATTTAAATAATATTTTTGCTTGTAATAAAATTTTATTTTCCTTAAATAGTTATTATTATTAAATTTTTTTTGCATATTATATTTTTTATAGGTCCATATTTTATTTTAGTTTTATTTTTATTTTATTTATTTTTTTCTAAATGAATTATTACTAGTAATAATATAAAATAACAATAATAATAATAATACTTTTATAAAAATTAAAAATCAACATAAAATAAATAAAAGCAAAATCAAAATAGAAAATAAAATGAAAAAGAAAAGAAAAAACATGCAAAACGATTCGGGTTGCGTGTGGGTTGACGCACGGATCCTACATGGGTCAGGTGCTATTCAGATGCCCAAAACGACGTTATTTTGAAGTGCCTATAAAAGGCTTATTTCAAATTTTGTTTCTTAATTTTTTTCCTTCCCTTCTATCTTTCCCCAAAGCCTTTTTGTTAAAAAACTTAGCCCTTTTAGCTGGCCGCCATGGCAACCCAGATTTCAATTGATTATCACCATGCACCAGTGGCCGGAAGCTTTAACGATGTCGAAAACTTCAAATTTTCTTAGATTTTGACGATGAACCCAAATGTCGGTCGTCAAAAAATTCAAACTTTTTCAGTTTTCCGTCGACCCAAAAAATTTTTAAAAAATTTTCAAAAAATCCTGAATTCATCATTTTTGTTTTCTAAACACTCTTTCTAAACCAGATTTTTCAAAAAAAAAAAATCTCAAACTCCTAGATTGAGAATTTCATTCTCGAGTATTTTTTTTAAAATTTTTTTTATGTTTGCTGCTAGTTCCTTTGTCAAAGAAGACTGTGATTGTTTTTGTTTTCATTTTGCAGAACCCCTAGGCTTCCCTTTGTTTTTTTTTCATTCTCTCTCCGTTGGTTCACTATGCCCTTCATTTGTAGAAATTCACTTTATTTATAGAGCTTCTGGGATTCAAATTTTAGATCTCCTGATATCTTTGTGTGAAAATTTTTTTATTCATTACTTTTAGTCACCGTATTTCATGCTATCAGGTTAGGCAGTTTCAAAGAGAAAAACATCATTATGGTAGCTTGATTTCAATTACTAGAGTTGAAACTAAAAGATTTTTTTTTTACTTTCTTTCTTTTTTTTTTAAGATTAATTAATTAATTAATTAATTAATAATAATAATAATAATATAAAAAAATTATATTTAAGACAAAATTGGTGCTTACATATGGGATTTATTTGTAGCTTCTCAGATTCTTCATTATTTATTCATCGTAATAATTGTGGAATAATTTTATTGTTGCTTTATGTGGATGATATAATCCTTACCGGTGATAGCTTCGAATTTCTAACAGGGTTATTGATTGTCTTAGCAAGGAATTTGCAATGCAGGATTTAGGACCACTTCATTATTTTCTTGGTTCAAGGACCAAAGAATGAGTTATTGTCTCTTTCTTAATAGAGCAAAATATGCCACACAATTGCTAGATCATGCTCAAATGGCAGGTCGCAAGCCAGTCTCAACTCCTGTGGTTACAAAGTTAGCACCACCAGCCAATGATAAGCCATTCAAGGATCTGCAACTTTATGGTAGTGTTGTGGGAGGATTGCGATACCTTACTTTCACATCCCCTAATATATCTTATAGTGTGAATTATGCTTGTCAATACAAGCATCGTCCTACCAACTTTCATTACCAACTTGTTAGACGAATACTTCGCTATGTCGCTGGAAAAACCACTCTTCCTATTAAATTACACTCTAATAATCCATCGGTGTTAAACGCATTTTCAGATGTAGATTGGACAGGTTGCTATCTCACTCGACGTTTCACCACGGGATTCAGAACCTTGTAAGAGGAAATTGTATTTCCTAGAGTGCCAAGAAACAACCCACTATGACACGTTCCAGTGCTGAAGCAGAATGCCTAGCCTTAGGTTACGCTACAGCAGAATCGACTTGGCTTTCTTTCATTCTACACGTGACATTGGCCTTGCATACCTCAAGCTCCAACTCTGTTCTGTGATAATATTTTAGCTTTCCAGATGACATCAATCCAGTCTTTCATGCTCGCACTAACCTTGTGGAGATAAACTATCATTTTATTCGAAAAAAGGTTACTATTGGCTAACTTTTAACACGCTTTATTGCATCTTCCAAGCAAGTAGCAGACATATTCACCTAAACATTAGCAAGGCCCACTTTTGATGCTTTACAGACCAAATTTGGCCTTAGAGTTTCACCTAGGCCTAGTTTGAGGGGGAGTATTGGAGAAAATCGAGCGAAGAATCTAGCAACCGTTAGAATTCAAATCATCGAACAGCACACAAAACCAATGCGGCAAAGTTAGCTCAAATAGTCAAGGATACTTACATGTGTTTATTATATTTGATAACTCGCTTTTAATATCAGTCGAAGAACAACGTATATAGTCTGTTATAAATAGAAACAAGTGGAAGAACGAACGACTCACGGCTTAAGTGAGTCTTTTAACAGAACCTCAAACTTCTTCAGAGACTGCTTCTTTTAAAGTTCATAACTGCTATGTCAATGGGTTGATAAAAAAAAAAAAAAAAAAAACCTGAAGGAATGGCATTTGACAGCCAAAACTTTCAGTCCTTGAGGAGGATGATAATCCTTTGTCTTAAGTAGTCATCTCAATTATTGCATATACCATTTTATAAAACTCAATAAATTAAAGGATCTCACACCAATTAAGCTTTGAAACGTATATGAAAGCATTTGATTAATACAATATGGTCAAGAAAAAAAGCAGACATATCTTGTTTAACACTTAACACAGCTCTAGAGTACAGAATAAATGGGATGGATATATAGTTACAAATACTAATTTGGTCTGTGCGATTCAATTTATTGCCTTATACTTTTCGAAACCATATTTATTCTCTTAAAATCAAATTAAAGAACATTTTTCTCTAACAGTAATGTCTTTTGCCCTTGTTCCTTTCATTCTTTTTCTTCTCAACTCGTTTTCAGAGTTACATCTTCTTATTTACAGCATGGTTGGCCTCCCCCTCCACTTGGTATACCCGGGTATGTGGTGGGAGGTTTATAGTAATCCAGAAGCTTCCGAACTGCAACATGATCAGGATCAAACCAAACATGTTTAATTAAAACACTGCAATTTGTCTATAACTTGGAAGCTGCTATGCCTGTAAGAGAAAAAGAACTTACCGAAATTGAGAGGTTTCAAGTTCAAATCCTGAGGGGTAACAGCAACAGCTGATGACATGAGAACCATGATGGCTAATAGAACCATCACCATCTTTACTTGAGAGGACTGGTTTAAAGCCATTTGGCAAAACGTGATTAAATCTGGCAAAAGAAGCGGAGGCCAAGGCAATGTGGTGATGGAGAATAATTGCCAGTTGTACCTTAGTATTTATATACAGAAAATCTTGACTTTTGGTGGATGAAGATTAATCAAAGACGTCTGAAGATTATTGTATTCCATAATATGAAATTTTCAAGTCAACAAGAGTAAAGCATTCAACGAACGACTTGGTCTTATGTTTAGCTGTCTACATATATTGAGAAAGATTGATACATGCATGTTTGAATTGGAGAAAAAAAAAGTGGAAAAAAGAGAAGGCAGATTCATATAACTGTGATTTGACTCATTTGTATGTATATGATACCGTATGTGAGAGGTAACTTTTACTTCAATTAATAATAATAAATATAAATGACAGTCTTGATTTATGAAATCAACATCATGGTAAGTTGGTTAGATACATGTTTGACTTTGAAAAGGTTTAAAAAATATATAAACATATTACTTACATTAATACATATTGTTTATATTTAATAATATTATCAATATAAATATTGGATTTTGAAATCAGCATGTTAAATTAAATGACATATTTATGGTATATTAGTTTGCTAGGTTATATATATTGAGAATGATTGTGTATGTTTGTATAATTTTCAAAACATCATGTTTATAAATGGTAAGTATATAAGATTCTGATGTATACATAATATAATAGGAATTCAAGCAAATTATTTTGTTTTCTTCATAAATTAATTATTTAATAAGTCCTAGAATTTGGCTCCCGCTATGCTTGGTTGATATTTTTCGTAAATTTTTTTTTATTTATTGTTATTTTAACAAAATATATAAAATTTTGATACACAAAATATTATAAAAATATTAAAAGTTTTAAAAATATATTATTTAATATGTTGTGATTATTATTTTTGTTATTGACTTTAACAACAATGAAAATTTAATAAATACAAACAAAAAAATTCACAATTTTCATTTTAATTTTTCTCTTTTTCTTATATTTTTCTATTTTTATTTTTAAGAGAAAATAAAAAATTATCTCAAAGTAAAAAGATAAATAAAAAAATTAAGGGTGGATAACTGAATAACAAATGCCATTCAATTAACCTCCCAATTAATCCCAAAATTAACACTTGGCTTCAAATCATCAATTATGGCCACTAGGATTTATCTTTTGTTGTATGTTATGTTATTGATATAGATTGTAAACATGTTCGGCAAAGATAAAGAAGCCTCAACAAGAAAACTCATTTTGTTTTTGACTTGGTTTACTGATATCTTTCAAGATTGTTGCGAGTGATTTGAATTTCAAGAGCAGGGGGCGATTTTCACAGTTTTTGTAAACAATATTCCTCCACAAACACATTGGAGATGGCTGTCACAAAGGTTTCAGGAGAATGGAAAGGTGGTGGATGTCTTCATTCCACAAAAAAGGAGTGCAAGAGGCAGGAAAGATGGGTTTGTACATTTTGAGAAACTTGTAGAGGCAAAGAAAGCGGTGTATAATTTGAATGGATTATCGATTAAGGACCACAAGATTGGGTTTAATATGGCCAGATTCAATGCAAGATCGACATTTTGGGAAATAGTTACAACGAATAAGGAACATGGGAAGAGTAGATTGTTGGACAGTTATCAAGGGCAGGATAAAAACCTTCATGGTCGGTTGCAAAGGGAGTTGAGGAAAGGTTTAACGGGGGATGGGGGTGGTAGGAGGACAAAAATCCTATTTTCAAGCTGCTTTGAGTGGAGAAAAGATGGATAGGTCGACATTACTGGAATTGGGAGGTGCTTAGAGGCGAGATGAAAGCCCATTGAGAATTAAGTCATGCTTAGGTGTGGTAGATGAGGAATCCATGCACAATCTTGAGAGATGTGTGATTGGTATTGCTTGAGGTTACTATGAAGCGAACACTTTGATGGAAAATTTCAAGATAAATGGAGTGTTTGATACAAGGATTTAAATAGAGGTCGCGGTTACGTTTTCGGTCGCGTAGCATTTGTCGCGTTTTCGGATATAACGGAGATAATTGTGGTCATTGCGGTCATCACGGTCATGAAATTTTTTTTTTGCACAATTTATTATAAAATGTAATAATTATAATTATAATTATAAAAACTCTTATTCAATGATTTTAAAAATAGTTTATGACACTCTATGTTTTTTATTTTCTAAAAAAACTATTCACAATTTTATTTAGATTATAAAAAGCATTCATATTTGGTTTATCCATAAAATTTTTCTTGGCCGAGTTCATATTCAATATTAATTCTAGACAAATCAAATATTAATAAAACATAATATGTTAAATACCAAGCATTTAATTTAATAAAATTACAAACTTAAAAATATAATAAATGCAAATTCCATCAACTACAATTATTGATACATATTTCAAATTTACCACATGGTAAAATGATGAGGAGGATTAGATTCTCTATCTTCACTTTGAAAGCCAAGTTGACTCCATCTCCATCCCTGAGACTTTGTTCTTGATACATTTGAGGTGGAGGATATATTTGAGGATGATACATTTGTAGTGGAGGGTACATTTGTGGTAACTGATACATTTGTGGTGGAAAATATATTTGAGGAGGTGGAGGATACATTTGAGGTGGATAATAACCATATAGAGGTGGATAACCATGAGGAGGTTGAAAATTATGTTGTTCTGGTGGATAGTAATGTCTTTGAGTACTAGCAGATGATTCACTATACTCAAAGTTACTAGAATTTGGTCTCTCACCTGAAGATGAAGAACCTCTAAAATTTCATAGTGGTGCTTCTTTGCTTTTCCTTTTGATCGAGTTGTACGTGCACTTTGACCCTCACTAGATTCAACAAATGGATTTCCTCCGTATTCTGCCATATTAATAAAAAGTCCACCAATAGCAGCAAGCCTAAATTCTCCTCCAAGTGGGCTGTAAGGTCGATTTGCATCCATATTATCACCAAAATTTGCACCATCACCATCACCATCACCATCTCCATCACCATCTCCATCACCATCTCCATCACCATCATCATCTAGACTTAAACCACCACCATCATCACTCTGACTTGGTGTTGGACTTGAACTTAAATGAGACACATTCCTTTCTTGAGATTGATGTGATCGTTCAACATTCATTTCATTATCAAAATTATCTGCAGGCAACCAATCAGAGTTTTGACCATCTAATAGAGGATTTTCTTTCTCTTGCAGCCATTCTGTTAGTGGATCATCATCTTCAAAAATATGGTCAAGGCTAATAGGATTAAAACTATTATTTATTTCATCAATGCTCATTCTTTTTTGATGTCTCATCCTCAACCTCATGTTATAATAGGTATATATAAGTTTCTGGAGTCTTTCAAACTTCAATCTGTTTCTTGCTTTGGTGTGAATATAGCTAAATGTGCTCCAATTACGTTCACAATTTGATGCAGATGTTGTTTGACTAAGCACTTTGATTGGTAGTTTTTGTAATTTAGGAACACAAGTGCCATATATCATCCACCACTCAACTGTATAAAATTATTTAAATTAAATTTCAATAGGCTATACAATTAAACAATATAAATAAATTATAATTATTTAACTTACTATTTACCTGGATTCATTTTCTTCCAAGCTCTTTGTGCTTGTGGACTACCAAATGTTTCATACTTGTCTCGAAATAATAACAACTACATCGATTGAAAATACAATAATAAATGAATAAATAAAAAATAATTTAATTTTTAATACATGAAACAAATGTTAAAGTTATAAAATAGTATTAAATACTAACCTGATTAATCATTCTGATTTGAGTATCTATCGAAGATTTTAATCTTTCAATAACTGCTTTTATACCTTCTAATGTTTCCTTAAATACATTTGCAGAATGTTCCACTCCATATTGAAATTATGGATTTAGATAGTAACCTAAACATAATTTATAACAATATTATATTAAAGTAATAAAAAATAAATATATAAGCAATTTAAGTATAAAAAATAAACATATTTTTTAAATACCATCTATATTCTTGGTTTACTTACCAGCTGAATGCAAGTCAGAGTACATGAAACTCCATCTATTGTTAATAATCTTTTCATATTCAGCAAAATAACGACAAGTTTGTTGAATTGCTTGTTTAGCTCTATCCACAGCCTCGTAAATAAAGCCCATTGTTGGTTTTTCATCATCATCCACAAGGCGCAACACTTTTACCAAAGGCTCATAAACTTTTATTATATCACCTGCTTTTTTCCAAAAATCTTTTCCCAAAATGATTTTTTTGACTTCATAAGCAAGTCCTGATTTTTGTTGTCCCCATTTTGAATCTTTAAATTCTTTTATATTCATCAATAAATTTTTAGAGTAATATATTTTAAATTAATATTTTAAAACAATAAAATCATAAAAAGATGCTAGATTTAAATAATTGTATTAATTACTAAGTACTAACCTTTGAATTGAACATCTCTCTCAAACTTTGCTTTTGCCTCATTATTTCTTCTAATTGTATGAAATGAGTGACAAATCGGGTAAGAGCAGGACGAAGTATTTGCTTCTCTTGTGTATATTTCTTCATCAAATTAACAGTCCAAATGTGATTGTATATAAAGCAAGTCACTTTCTTTGCATCATCCAAAACCTTTGCCACATTTTTTTCCTCCCAATATCTTTAAGGCACAAGTCCAAACAAAGAGCTGAACATGCTGTCCAATACAAATGTTTTCTCTTCTCCATTAGTCTTTTTCCTGCGGCTTTAAGTGCTGCCTCGTTATCAGTGACTATTTGAACAATGTATTTTTCTTTAATTTCTTCCATAAATTCATCTAATAATCTGTAGTAAAAGTTTGTATCTCTACTACGAACACTTGAGACATCTACAGATTTCCAAAAATAGTCCCTTTACTACAGTAAACAAGAAAATTAATGATATGCATTTGATTCAAACTATTGGTCCAACCATCACACATCAAAGTGACACCCAATTCATTCTAATAAGCTTTTAATCCATTAACCCATTCATGAACTTGTTGATACTCAGACTCTAAATACACATCTGAGACCTCATAAGGTGTTAGAAGTCTTACATGTTGGCCAACTTCTGCTGCCACAGAAATCAAATTATACAACCATGAGGAATTTGCTAACTGAAAAGGAAGTCGATCATATATCAAAAGTTTTGATACTGATTCACCCATTTTTCTTCTTAATGTCTTTAGAAATGAATTACTTACTTTTGGTTGTCTTGAACTTTTACTTCTAACCAATTCAAGAATAGCTCCCCTTAATGAAAATTCAGACTCATTTGGAGTTGATTTCCTTGTTCTTTTTTCAAAATATTCAGCAACTGAACCATGAGAACTTCGTCCTTCTTCATATATGTTACTCCAACCACTAGTTCTTTGTCCGAACTCTTATCTTCTGTGCCACTCATGTTGTGATTGGATACTATCTCACACGGCTTGTCTAGTAGCAATGTCTTCATCAATAAATCCTTCATAATCATTTTCCCCTCTTAATTGTAATAATTTCTTCTTTTGTTGTCTGCTTTTTTTTATTTGCTTTCTTGAAGGAGTTTCATCATACTTTCTCTTACTATACCTATTAATAATATAGTCAAAAAAAAAAAATTAGTTGCACATGCTTATGTAATTTTATAATTTTTATTAAGAAATTAACAATAATATTTTCAAAGAAATTAAAAAAACATAACATACCAGTAACGTTGGGGCATGGTGCAACATTGCCAGTTTTATGAGCAATGTGTTCTTTGAAACGTGTTATTCCTCCTTTTACAACTTTACCACAAAGTTTACATGAAATATTTCCTCTTGTATTTGGCACAGGTGTTCCAAAATGCCAACCTATATCATCACTTGGTGCGCCATCTACTCTTTTACTCGAGAACTCTTCACGTGGTGGCATACTTATTATTTTGTATAAAAACAAAATAAACTTATATTTAAAAATATTAATATTACTTATTACATCATTAAAAATTGATTTTACGCTAAATTTTTTAATTTTTGATTTTTAATCTTAAGAATATTATTAAATAACTTAATCTTTTGATGCACTAATTGATATTAATTTTTTTATCACAAATAACTTCAAATAATTATATAATAAATATGATCTTCAATAATTACACAAAAATAATAAGAATTAATCTAATATCAAAAGAATTGACAACAATATAAATATCAAAACAACAAAAAAATTATTAAATTTCATATACAAAATTATAAATTAATATCTAACACAATCAAAATATAATATTTAATTTTAATTAATTTTTGTCTAACTTATATAAAAAATTTATCAATAATTTTCATCTACAATCTCTATGTATATCATATTAAATTATTAATCTCTTATTTTTTTTAATTATAAATCTTCAATCCCTCTAATTAGATTTTATTTAAAAAAAATTTCAAAAATTAAAAGTTTTCAAACTTATATTTTAATAAAATTTTCAAACCTATATTTTTTATTTTTTAGTTTTTACTCTTAATAAGAGTAATAGATCATAAAATGCTAAATTTGTTAAGTAACTTAATTTTTTTGATACACTAATTGATATAAAATTTTTTTTATCACAAACAACTTTTAATAATTATATAATAAACACAATCTTCAATAATTATACAAAAATAACAAGAATTAATATGATATCAAAAGAATTGACAATAATATAAATATCAAAACAATAAAAAAAATTAAAATTCATATACAAAATTATAAATTAATATATAACACAATCAAAATATAATATTTAATTTTAATTATTTTTCATCTAACTTATACAAAAAAATTTATCAAAATTTTTCATTTAAAATATCTATATATTATATTAATTATAAATTTTCAAAACCACTAATTAAATTTTATCTAAAAAATTTTCAAAAATTAATTATAAAATTAAATAAAAAAATTCAATCCCACCCTCCAAACACCCTACCACACCCAATCCGTCCCCACCCCCATCAATCCCTCTCCACCTTCCCCCCAATGCCCCACCACACCAATCCCTCCCCACCTTTCCCCCAATGCCCCACCACACCCAATCCTCCCCACCCCATCCAATCTCTTCACGTGCCTAATATATCAAATTTGTTCAATTCTTTCTAGCAAATAGAGACCCTTCTAGAAACGCTTTATTTTTCTGTTCATCTTCTTCTTCGTCTTGCATCTTACTTTCTCTGGTTTTCCAAAAATTTTTTCTTATTTCTTTTTTTTTTTCATCTCTTATTTTCTCTCACATCCCTTTATCACTATCACTTGTTGACTTACCTAGTATCTACAGATATCTCGTTTGTCTTTCGAACTCTCACAAGACACAACAGATCATTTTACAAAAATTTTACAAAAAAAAAAGGTAATTTAACTTTCTTTTCTTACTTTGTTTGATCTTGAATGTTGATTGAAAACTTGAGGTTGATTTGAATTTGAATACTGAAAATGCCGTTTAAATGGTTAAAAGTTGAAACTTAAAATAATTGATCTGTTTTTTAGCTCGTTTTAAAATTTCTTTTGATGATAAAGATCTGAGATTGTGAGCTTTATTTTTTGATTTGGCTTTTACTTTTACTTTTGCAGGTTTGTTGTTTTATTTTGCAGGTTTAAAATTTTATTTTTTTGTTAGAACTATTAGATCCGTGAGTAGAAAAACGGAATAGCACCAATAACGGTCCGTTATTGCCGCTATTGTCCGTTACGCCGTTATTTTGCGGCCGTTACTCTCTGTTTTTGCTGTGAATGAATTTCTCAATCATTTTTTATCTATTAACGGTGGCGGAGGGCAGCGCTACCATAATTTTGCGGCTGTTATTCCGCTATCAAATCGTTATTTGAATCCCTGGTTTGATATAACGGTAAAGAAGATTTCGGGCAGACAGTTCATGATTTGTTTCGACAAGGAGGAGACTATGGAAAAGCTTCAGTGGTCCTGGTTAAAGGAATGGTTCACTGAGGTTGAACATTGGTTGGAGAAGCTAGAAAAAAAATACAGAACAACTTAAATAACATGTCATGGCGTTCCCCTTCGTGCCTGGAATTATGAAACTTTAAAGAAAATATCGCTAACATTTGGGAAGATTTGATATCCGTGGACGATAACACTTTGAGATACAATGACTTCAGCAGAGGAGCGATGAGAATCATGACAGATCACATTGGCAAAATCGACGAAGTTGTTAAACTTGAATGTGGGGGAAAAGATTACCAAGTCAGGGTATCTGAAGTAGGTTATGATATAATCTCGTTAACTCCTTGCCATTGTGTAGCAAGGGGTTAAGGCCAGCACTCTCTGGACATAGTGAGAGTGACGATGAAGGTTCAGTTGAGTCAAATGTTGAAGAAGGTGTACAGGCAAACGAGAGGGATGAAGATAACGTTTCATTTCTAGTAGTAAATGAAGAAGACAAAGATACGGCTACAGTACAACCACCTGTGTGCATGGGCAGTGAAAATGGTATGGAAAATAGTGAAATTGGCAGAAAGCATAAGGAGTTAGCAGAAACCGAGGTCAACTCAATGGGGAATGAAAGAAGGAATTATAATGGGGCAAATGATAGTCTGGCAAGCATGGGTACATGGCCTGGGGATGTGTGTGGGGTAAGTTCAGATCCCAAAACGATGCGTTTACTGGGGAATAAGGAAGAAATTTGGTCTGGAAGTGTAGTGGCCGAAACAAGATCTGGATGGTGAAGGGATTAGAGTAACACGTGAAGAGTTAAGAGAAGTGGAGTTAAGTGGGCCTGAGAATGTGATCGGGCTGGTGGCAAATAGAGGTGCTACGGGGAAACAAATAATTCAAAAAAGAAAAGGAAGGAGAGACAGAAGCATATCAGAGATAGAAGAGTTGTACTACAAAAGGTTTTCGGGGAAAAAGGAGAGCAAGGGAAAAAACAGAAGAAAGGAGAAGAGGGTCCAAAAACAAAAACAAAAGAACGGTATCATTCTTAATGCATCACTATCTGACAGGGATTTTCAAAATCGAAGAAATATACTGTGTGCAGATGATGCCGAATCAACATGGAAGATTGGGAAAATGTTAGGAATGTAAGATAGTTGCGGAGACGAGATAGTGATCGAAACACTAAGAGAGATGCAAGTGTCAAAGAAACGGTGAGCTGGGTGTACAGGTAACATACTTTATTGTCTAAATGTTAAGTAGATAGAAATAGGTGAGATAGAAAGAGGTCGTGGTGTGAAGGTGTTAGTTTAAAGGCTGCGTCTACAGTATTGTGTAAATTGCTCAACTGAAAATCTTATCTTGGAGTGAGGGACTTAGGGAGTAAGGTGAAGAAAAGACATGGTGAGATCCATGGTGACCTCGAACAAGATAGAGTCGTTGTTGGTTCAAGAAACAAAATTAAAAGATTTAAATGATAGAACCATACAAGGGTTATGGCCAGATGGGATTTTGAATGGGCACACTTAGATGCAGAAAGGAACTCAGGTGGTATATTATTGGTATGGGATAAGGACTGCTTTAGACAAATAAACGCATGGAAGGGTAGAAGTATGGTATGGCTGAAGGAAAGTTTTGAATGTGTTATATGCAATGTTTACGTTCCATCCGAGTCTGAGCTAAAAAAGCAGTTGTGGAAAGATATACTAGGGAAAATGGAGGACATTGGGAAAAAATAGTGTGTAGCAGGGGATTTTAACACGATGAGGTCAATGTTGGAAAGATCTGGCTGTTCTACTGGAATACAGGAATTCAATAGGTTTATTGATGCTAGTGGTCTTGTGTATATTCCACTTAATGGGAAGCGATTTACATGGTTTGGTCAGGGTAACAAAATGACCAGACTGGACAGATTCCTACTGTCAATGGAGTGGATTAACGCATTCAGGGATTTATGCCAAAAAGGATTAAGGAGGTCTATCTCTGATCATGTGCCATTATTGTTACAGAATGTGTCGGTCAATTGGAGGCCAAAACAATTTAAGTTTCTGAACTGTTGGTTTCAAAAGGAGGGTTTCTTGGAAGAGATTGCAAAAGAATGGAGTGAGATAGAGGTTTCTGGTAGAGAGGGCTTTAAAGTGGTTAAAACAATGAGCAAACTGAAGTTTTTGAAAGATTGGAATAATCACGTGTTTGGGAATGTTGAAGAAGGCATTAAAGCTTTGGAGAATAGGATTGACCAGTTGGAAAATGCAGCAAGCAAAAGAGACTTGATTGATGACGAAGTGGTCGGAAGGAAAAAGGCTATACAGGATTTATGGGAAACGAAGTTGAGGAATGAGTCACTATAGAGGCAAAAGTCGAGGGCTCTATGGCTTAGGGAAGGAGATAGAAATACAAGAGTTTTTCATTGTAAGGCGAAGATGGGGGTGAAAAGGAATTGTACCCCTGGTTTTGATAAGAATGGAAGGTGGATTACGGAGCCAGGAGAGGTTAAAAGAATCATTTATGATTTCTTTAGGGAGCACTTTAAAAGATAAGGGGGCGATTGGTAGATTTCAATTCACTTCCATTCAAAAGATTACAGCATCTGGAAACAGAAGGGATGGAAGCGCCATTCTCGATTGAGACGGTCAACGATGCAATGTGGAGTTGTGAAAGTAGCAAAGCCCCTGGCTCGGATGGTTTCAATTTTCTCTTTTTCAAGAAAAGCTGGAGCTTTATCAAGGAGGATGTTATCACATTTATGGAGGAGTTCTACAGAACAGGAACGCTCAAGTAAGGTATTAACTCTTCTTTTATTTCCTTAATTCCAAAAGTTGATAAGCCGGTGTTACTTAGTGACTATAGGCCGATTAGCTTGATTAACTCACTGTTCAAATTGCTGTCAAATATTCTGGCAAAAAGATTAAAATTAGTTATAAGTAGTCTACTAAGCGATACATCAATTACATTCGTGTCCGGAAGACAACTTATGGATGGGGGTTATGTTAGCAAACGAGATTATTGACTCATTGAAAAAGGGAGAGGCGTGTGAAGGGGGAGGAGTAATTCTTAAATTAGATTTTGAAAAAGCCTATTATTCCATTGAATGGTCTTTTCTGGATCATATTATGGAAAGGATGGGTTTTGGTAGGACTTGGAGGAGATGGATAGGAGAATGTATTTCTATAGCATGGGTAGCGGTGTTATAGGAGAACGTTTTTCTATAGCATGGGTAGCGGTGTTAGTTAATGGAGCCACAACAGAACAGTTTCATATGGAGAAAGGACTGAGACAAGGAGATCCATTATCTTCTTTCCTATTCATCCTGGTTGCAGCAGCTCTACATCTAATGATGGTGAAAGCGAAGAATATGGGCCTGTTTAGAGGAATTTCTTTTCAAGGGGAAGAGTTGACTATTTCACATTTGCAGTTCTTAGATGATAACTATATTATTCTTGAGAGCTGAAAGGAAGGCAATGGAAAATGTCAAGAGCTTGTTGACTTGTTTTGAACTAGCTTCGGGCTTCAGGCTGAATTTTTGGAAGTCTCAAATGTATGCTGTTGGACTTGAGGAAAATGTGGAGGCGGAGATGGTAAGTGTGTTTCGATGTGGGAGAGGGAAATTGTTGTTCAAATACCTAGGAATCCCTCTGGGGGCAAACTCGAAAAGACTGGCCGCGTGGGAATCAGTGATTGATAGGATCCGACGGAAATTGGCACTATGGAAAATAAATATACTGTTCTTGGGAGGTAGAGTAACACCCATAAATCGGTTCTATCTTGTCTCCCAATATTTTACATGTTAGTCTTTAAAGCGCCTAAAGGAGTAATAAGGAAAATTAACAAAATAAGGAGGAATTTTCTATGGGGTGGAGGTGACACTCAGAGGAAAGTAGCAAAGGTGAGATGGTTTGACATTTGTCGTCCAAAAAGATCAGGAGGACTTGGAATCACTGAGTTACAAGTTAAAAATCAAGCCTTGTTAGCTAAGTGGTGGTGGAGGTATGCAAACGAAAAAGAGTCATTGTGGAGAAAGGTGGTAGTTGCAAAATATGGGGAGAATATACGACAATGGTTGTCGTGTAAGGTGTATGTTAGGAAGATCTCAATTGTGTGGTGTGATATGGTTGGAATAGCAATGGATCTGGGAACAAAAAAACTGGTTGGGAACCATTCTTGTAGATGGTTGGTGGGGAATGGGCAGGATACTTTATTTTGGCTTGACTGGTGCTGCTCTGAAAGACCGCTCAAAGAAGTATTTGCTCAACTTTGCTATCTTGCAAATGACAAGTTAGCGAAGGTGGCCGAATATACGAGGGACAATTCCTTTGATCATCAAGAGTGGCGGGGATATTTCAGGAGAGAGTTGTTTGAGTGGGAAAAAGGGACACTTAGAGATATGTGTATTATGGCACAAAATTGTCATCTACAGATTGGTAAGAATGACAAAATAATATGGGAAAATGACTTGAATGGAGTATTCTCGTTTAAAAAGGCCACAAGTATACTAAACACTTCATTTGAACAATCCCCATTTGAGTTTAGCAAGTTGTGGTTGCTCATAATTCCCCCAAAAATTCAGTGCTTTAGTTGGTTGGTGACATTAGACAGACTGCCCATAAAAGATTTCCTTATTTGAAGAGGTCTACCACTAAGTCACTTAGATAATATGTGCCCATGGTGTAAAAGGACCCTTGAGAGTGTAGATCATGTTTTATATAGTTGTGAATGGATCGCTAAAATATGGGTTTACTTTCTTCGATGGTGGAGTTTGACATGATGCCAACCGAAGACATTAAGATCGTTTATACTGAACTGTATGGGACCATCGTTCACTGGGGCTGTAAAAGCATGGTGGTATGCTTCCTTTTCAGTAGCTTTGTAGTTTATATGGCTACAAGAAATGAGTTGGTTTTTGACCAGAAAAGTATGTCTGTAGAGGATATTGTTTTTGTGATAAAATTAAGCGCACTTTATTGGATCAAAGCTATTAGGAAGGATGATTGCCCATTAGAATCAGCTTGGTGGTCCGATCTACTTGAGGGTGTGCCTGTGATAAATGGGAAACGCAGAAGAGAACATATTGAGTAGATGCCACCTGTGGCAGCTGTGTTAAGGTTCAATGTAGATGGTTCAGCGTGAATGATAAAGGCATGGTGGTGGCTATGTTTTCGGGGCCATGCGGTTCTCAAAAGCCATATATGGCGGTGTTACTAGCAATCAAAACAGCATTGGAAGTATTTAAACAGACTAAGTGGAAATTTAGGAAAAAACTTATTGTGGAGTCAGATTCAACGATTGCGGTTGGTTGAGTGTTGGATGGGACGATAAGACCATGAAAAGTTTGGAACATTCTCTCTGAACTTAACCAATATATTTCACGAAGCAAATATCTTGGCTGATGCGTTGGCAAAAGCAGGGGTGGAGTGAGAGAACATGTTTGTGGGCTGGTGGTAAGATTCTGGATGTGAACTATAGGCAGATGTGAAATTATAGGTATTGTTATTGATGAATCATGGGATTGTGATTTGTATGTCATGAAAGTTGTTGTGCTACGCTCTATTTGTATTGTAAAGCTTGGCTCTGTACCAGGGAGGGGGGCTTCACTCTTATCTGGTTGCAATAAAGAAATAAAACCTGACTTAGCAAAAATAAATAACTAAATAAAGAAGCCTTATCTCTATAACAGGAATGAGAAAAATAGAAAGACTATTCTTGTAGCTTAAAGGCCTCTACAAGTATAATACTGAAATTACTTTATAGATGCTTTTTTATTGTAATAGATTCCACAAGTAAACTTTCACAGTTTAGGAATCCTAAAAAAAAAAAGAGAAATTTATATAGAACCAAATTTTTTATCTGTAGAGCCATAAGCTAAATACACTCATATTTCAATTATGTTTTAAGTAAATTTGCTAACCACAGCTAATTGAATCATAAAGATATTTATCTTCAAATCCTTCGCACCTAAACCCCTCAAATTTGTATTTGTATTTGAAATTATTATGCGATTATAACATACGAAAATATGTTTACGTGAGATTTTTAAGATGACAAGTATGTACATCCGTCTATCTTTAAAACTTCATGAAAACATATTTTCGAGTAGTTTAAAATAAGAAAGGATATACATTTACATTAATTCTGAAAACAAATGGATATACATAGAAATTGATTGAACAATTGAAAGAAAAACAGAGATAGTAGTTTATGATAGCTGTTTAAGCAATAGTAAACATCATACTGAATGGCAAAGGACCGTTGACATGTCGAGATGAATAGTCAAACGTAAACTCCGCATACACTCTCCGTGATATTAGACTTTTTTATTTTCATTTCCTATCGTTACCAAAAGGAATAATGGTGCCACTAAAGAAGTCAATTCAACCCGAAATCGATGAGTTTTTGATTCGATACGATATTTTAAGATTGATTTTTTTTTTTAATTGAGTATCGGATCAAGTAAGATAATATAAAAAAATTTTGAAGTTGGGTTAAGACTTGGTTTTAGGCAAACCTAATCTTACTTGATCTGATATATATATAAATTATTTATTTAATTTTATATTTATATTAAAAAATAATATTTTATAATTTCAGATCGGATCGATTCAGGTATGATTTTATACAATGTCAGATTAAATCAGGTTCGGATATAAAAAATAAAAAAAAAATTATCAGGTCAGGTAAAGTTTGAATTTTATATTTATAAAATCGGATCAAATTCGATGTGAGCAAAAACTCGTCCTGACCTGACCCGTTACTATCGCTAGGTGCCACAATTGGTGTAGAGTTTTAGTAAATTCAAAAATACTCACGAGCCTTTAGTTATTGTTGCAAATTTAAATTTAAAACAATATTAAAACCCATTTTTTTTTAGAAAATCAAAATTTCAAAGCAAAAAATTGAAATATAAAAAATAAAATTTAAAATATTATTTTATTGATATCATAACACAATAAAAAATTTAAAATAAAATAAAATAAATTTAATTTAAAATATATAATTTAAATATAAAAATAAAAATTTTCTTTTCTTTTCCTTTTTTCTTCTTTATAAAATATATTTGAAAAAGAAAAGAAAGAAGAACTTTAATATTTAAAAAAATAGTTTCTTTTGGATAAAAATAATATTTTTTTATTATAATTTATTAGTAAAATAAAATTTTTAATAACGATAGATTTTTGGTTTTTTTTTAAATGATATGTATTTTTTAAAAAGAATTTGAAAATTTTAAACTTACTTTTAACTTTTGAAAATCTATTTTCTATTAAAAATAAAAAAATTTAACTAATAAATTGTATTACAATAAAAAATATAAATTTTTTAAAAATTTAATATTTTAGAAAATATATCTAAAATTTAC